TATATATATGTAATCGTTAATTAATCTAACTACTGAACCAGAGTATTTGATTTGATTGATAAGTATATGATTTAAATAATTTTATGATATATTTTAATTTATACAATTCAACCTGTCTATAATTTGATTATAGCTTCTTTTTTAAGCTTCTTTAATGTATGATATAAATTTTATTGAAATTTATAGGTATGAAATATATAATATGAATATATTTTAAAAAATTAATAAAAATTAAATCATACAATTTAATTAGTAAGTTAGATTCGACTTTTGACTTACTAATGGAGTATCTTAACTGCTTTGATGATGAATAGAGTTTTTAAATCATTACCACGAACAGAAAACCACACCGTGAACACCTCATTTGATTCTGATTAAATTGATTTATGATACCCAATAAAGAAAATGATGTCTACTTTAACTATGGTTCAAAATGTAGTATCCAAATTGGTAATAAGAGTGTTCATTTGATTTGTTGGGTCTCTTGCATGCTTAGTGTTTGATGGAGGGGAGAGGAGTGATCTTATTAGTTTTCTTTTGCTGGTTCAAAATTTTGGTGAGAAGAAAAGAATGAAAGGGGTTCAAATCTTTTTTCATCCAATTTTCTCTCAAAATTGGAGATTTTGGAGGACAGGGATTTTATACTAATTTAATTAAATTATTTTAGCTTCATGATTTTATTTACCTATATTTAAGAATATAATAGTAATTTGGCTTTTCTCTCATTTCTATCTAAACCGTACCTATCTTTTTTCTTTTTCTTTTTCTCTATTAAAATAGTTTCCCTCACCCGTCAACCAAATAAAGCTACTTTGTGTGGATTTGTTGTGCTTATTGTTGGACCATCTAGCGTCTTGGAATAAATAGCAATACCTGTTTTTTTACCTTCTCTTTTTTAGTATTTTTTTAAAATATTTCTTTTCGGAAATTAAATTTTAGAAAAGTGTTTTGAAAGAGATACTTTGCACTAATAATGTGACTAAAAAGATCACTTGGTATGTTTACTTTTATTTTAATCTTCTTAATTTTTAGGGTTAAATAAGATTTAACTATAAAATTTTAATATTTGAATTTTAATTCCTTGTTTATTTTTGTGAACAATTTTGGTCTTTTAATGTGTTCAATAGGGATACATGTTAACATTGCACAATGCACATGTAGATGCCTTGTGTGACGTGGCTTTTGTGTGACATGAAAGTCTGCTAGTAGCACCATGGATGTGTCACACTAATTTTTTAAATATTTGTAGTCTATTTATTTATTTAGAATTTGGTTTTTGTTCCTTACGATTGTCACTTTTCAATTTTGTCACCATTCATCAATCCAATATGTTTGAACTCATTCGCATATCTTGTAGTTGCCTAAGCTATAATCCACCTAAATTGAAATCCTACTTGGTTTGAAATGGGCTTTATTGTAACGTTGAGTGAATAATTAAATTCTCGATCATTCTTGTAGTGGTTTCTATAATGACACTCTCAAAGTATAGTGCTAAAGTGGTGGCGATCACGAACTCTGATAGTGGCACCTACAAGATTCTAATGTCTAAGTTAGTACTTGTCTTTAAGTGGTACCTACAAGACTTTAATGTCTAAGTTAGTACTTGTCTTTAAGTGTTTGGGAAAATACAGAACAATCGCATACCTTAGTGAAGGAATCCTCTTTATAGTCTTTTTCCAAAAAAAAGAAAAAAAGAAAAAGAATAGTTACTTTTATCAAGAAAATAGTACTATATTGAAGTGGTGGTGATCATAAACTCTGATAGTGACACCTACAAGAACTTCAATACCTTAGTAATTACTTGTTTCAAGTGTTTGTAAAAATGTAGATAAAATGCATAAGAATCCTCTTTATAGAGTCTTTTGCAAGAAAATTAGTTACATTCATTATGTCACATGGGTGTTGATAGATGAGAAATGTGCCAGTTGTCAAGTGTTTTATTTTTACATTAAATCATTAGTCCAATTTTATTTATAACTTGCTTTAGATTAATTTAGATTAAATATAACTTTATATGAATAGGTCAAAATATCATTAAAAATATAGTCGCAACATTTAATTATTTTATCCGAACTTAGGTTGAACCAACCTCTGAAACAGACTTTAAATAAGTGTATTTAGTTTATCATATTTTAGACTCATGAGACTCGAACTCGATCATAATTGATCAATAAGCAATCCTATAATGTTACAAATTTTTAAGACACAAGGAATTTCAAATTAGACAAATTACTAATTAAGCATGTTCAAGGAATTTAAACATTGGTGAATGTTTAGATCACACTTTTTAACTTGCACCTTTATCATTAGCCTAGAATCCTAACTCATCCCCCAATTTCTTTAACTTATAATAAGTTGCATCTATCAAGACTAACAAACTTTTTCTCAACCTAGAAAATTCTCGATGCATTGATTTGGGAAAGTAATTTTGAAGATTATCTCAAACTTCTTGAACAATGTCATAAAAAAACATGACACTATTTGTAATATCACCTGTTAAAGAATTTGGAGTCCACAATAATATCATATGATTACAGCTTTTTCCAAACTATGTAACCTAATTTGATTTTCGACTTATAGTGTCTTAAGGTTAAAAAGATGGTCATGACTATGTCAAGTTGAATAGTTGTGACCATTAACAAGTTTAGAAACAAGAATTATTTCATGATGGTCAAAATGATGAAGAGAATTAAAATTGTTGAACCCTGCCATATCAAAGTAAACTCAAATAAAAAATGACAGAAAAAAGAAAGTAAATCATCACTACTCATACCTTATAAAGAATAAAAGATAAAAAATAATTTACCTTGTATTCATTCAATAACTGATATACAAATATATGGAAGATTATAAAATAATTTTGCTCCAATAAATTAAGAATTTCATTCCCATAATCAAGTTATTCTATTGAAATTAATTAGGCTCATTTCACATATCTGGTCATTAATCCTTAATAATAATATATGATAATATTGATGAGATAAAAGTTCCAATAGATTTCGAAAATAACTAATGACTACAAGAGAAATAATGACTAAAATTTTAATTTTAATTTTATATACCGATATTAAAAAAAATGAACATTTTGTACGGAGCCGAACAGAATTCCCAAAATCCTTTGGTGGACTAAATATTCTTGATACTAACTTTTACCTCTATTATAAGAACACTTCAAGATGCCAACTCGAGTCCAAGAACTAAAACAACTACGCTAAAAATAAAAATAATAATAAAAACCTAAAAGTCAACAAAATTTTGAAATTATACAATGACTAAACTTAACTATCCATTCTTTTTATCTTTGTCCCTACTAAATACTTTTACTAAAATATCTAATGTTAGGTTTTCTATTAAGTAATGACATAAAAAAATAGAAATTAGAAAGCAGATATGATGTCTTTTAAATAATAAAGATTAAACAAAAATCTCCCAATATTTGAAAAACATGAAAATTTATAATTTTATAAAATAATGCACGAGTAACAAAAGGAATTAAAATGATATGCAAATATTTTATAAGGATCAAACAAGGAATTCTCTTTTTAAGTTCAAAACAAAAAAAAAATCTATATTATAAAGTTTAAAAAGTTAGTTAAGCCAATAAAAAAACTACGAAATTATCATTTCCTAAAGCCTATTCAGTCATTATACCAAATGTAATACAGCGAAATATAAAAGCGATATTAGGACACAGGGCAAGCTCAGGCCCAGTTACAATACCCACGAGAACTACATCTAAAATTGAACGCTCAATGTTTACAAAACGAAAGGCCCCTCGTCTAAAATTGAATAGAATGTTCTCAATAACCATAATTGGTGCCATAAACGGGACCATAATCTGCAGAAGGTACATGGCCTGCATGACCACCAGCACTTGGGGGTGGAGATGCATACACAGGAGCATTAGTTGGATAGGAATTGTAACCTTGATTAATTGATCCCCCCATATGATCCTGCGTCGCACTTGCTGCTTCAGCCATGAAATTCTGCATCAGATAGGTTGAGGACAATTCAGAATAATAATAATCACAACAATAACGATAAAAACCACACGACAACACGAGCATCAACATGGGGATGCGATGATAAACCTTGACCCCAACAATGTTTTAACTTTTAAGAGGAATTTTAGCGATATTCTCTCTAACTTCCATGTTGATTGAGAAAAAGAAAAAAAGCAACATCGCATGACAATGATAATTACAAACTGTCCTACCTTCTGCAACATTCATATTATTCATTTAGCCTAACTTTATCAATTGTCATTCAAACCTTATGACAAAAATACAAGAAATAAACAAATACTTGGATGTCAACTGCATTCCCTCTCTTTATTTGATGCCATTATTTATTTCTATTATTTACTTATATTTGTATGTAAGAGTGAAATTAAAAAAACAGATTTTTACTTGACCCCAACATATTTAAACTTGTCATTAATATACATAGGAAGCAATTAACACATACAAATCAGACGTAAAATTAATCGTTGCCACTTCGAATCACAAAAAAATTGTTATTCTCTATCAAAAAATAACGATAAGATAGCTAACAAGTAGATTAGCTGAAACCAAAAACTCTTTAAAATGAAATACCTGCACTAGCTGTTGGGCAGCCTGTATTTGTGAAGCAGTCCCACTAATCTCAACAGTCATCTCTCCTGGCACACCTCTGGTCTCCTGAATTGTAATACTTGCTCCACTAGCACGACGAATGTAGCTGATGTTTGCCCCTGACGCTCCAATAACAGCATCTGCATAGGACAGAGGAATTTGCATATGCTGGGTGACCTACATAGTACAAAAGAAATCTTATTCAGCCACAATAAAAAATAAAAATTAAAAATGCTTCAAAACCAACGCTTCTCTCTGCAATACTCAAGCTGGAGAAAAAAGGATACCTTAGTCACAACAGACTGTTGTGGCTGTGCACTGGATGAATGAATTCCCATAGAAGCATCTCTTACATAAGCAGGTGCTGGACCCTGATGAAGGTGCTTGTCCATAGGAGGCAGGTCAGCAGGTGGGTAGTAATTATCATAGTTATGTGAAGGTGGCATATACTGAGGATTGGGTGGAAAAGCAGGTCCACCACCACTACCAGGTCCAGGAGCTGGAAAACCTTGAGGAGGACCCCAAGGTTGGTGTGGTGGGCCTGGTGGAACATTCTGGTTTGCTCGAACATCTGGCCTTTGCATCTAAAGTTTGGAGGAAGAAAAATTGTAATAAGGATGGTCCATATACCAAAAAAAATACAAAGTTTCCCTTTAATCCAAAGCATGCGAAAAAAGTTATGACATGAAAAAAACATTGAACGCCCTTCTTAAAATACAAGACAATGACAAATAACCTAATCTCTAATGCTTTCCATCCCAATCTATTACTAACCTATCCCAATCAATTGTCCCCAGATAAATCCAGATCTATATATATATATATATATATATTAAGAGTGCTGAAATCAGCTTAATGACTTATCGTGACACAATGCATCTCTAGAGATAACTCATCTATATACATTCTTAATCTGAATATTCACACCAATCAGCTATGAATAAACATAAACAATTAAAAGTAAAATGAACTGACCTGTGTTTCAAATACTCCAACAATGCTGCGGTCGACCAAGAATTTTCGTAGATGAATAGCAATAAGTTCAACTGCCTTGTGAACCCCAGGAGATTCCCCTTGTATTTCAACAACACTATCATCTCGCAGAGCAAAAACTGGCAGGTGTTCTGTTGTATATAATACATCATTCAGGTAAATTTCACAAACTTGGATATCACAAACCACGTTGCTCAAATATATGATTACTAAATATTAATGCATTACTTGACAAAAAAACACGACCTACTTTTCAAAATACATAATAAGAATAGCAGTACAAAAATCAGTACATCCGATGGGTTAGATTTAGTAGTAATGATAACACATGCAATGGCAAAGAATCAACACAACTTGGGTAAATAAGCATAAGACAAAAAAAACTATGGCAAGCATACAGTGAAAAGGAAAATGTGTTCATTGACAAACTAAAGCGACATTTCCTAATATAATTTAGAATGCTTGTGAGCACACCTGAACCAAGAACCCGTATATTGCATCCTGTGCCATCTTGAAATGATTTTATAGTGGACCCCTGTTTCCCAATCAAGCTTCCTGCTTGAGTATCTGCCACTAGAAGTCTTGTAACAACTGGGCGCCCTGCACCTGATGCACTATCAGCAGGATGAGGGTCAACATTGACAACTTGTTTATGAACCCTTAACAAACCATCCACAGCAGGCGGTATGCTGCGATCTGGCTCTTCTTTTGCAGAAACCATTACCTTGTATTTTAAAAGTATAAAAGAAAATTTCAGAAACACACATAAGCAGGCCATTTATGAACACCAAAAAAACCTAAATTTCATATTTTAAAGCAAGCTAATTTTAGAAGCTCGATCCATCAGCTGATTCAACGCAATGTTCTAAAAAAATATCACTATTGCATCACTAGCAAAAACAAAAAATTTATGTTCTATCTATTATCCTTATTTTCATTTCCTACAACCAATGCATCTTTGGCTCAACAAATTAAGAATTATTTTAATTATGTCAGACTAAATTTTGTTTTAACTTCATTTTTCATTTCTTAGATATGGTGCATCCCTGAATCCAAAAAATAATATAAATACTTTCATTTAAAGATTCTAAATCTTGAGAGTAATTTATTATGATAGATACCTTTCAAATAATTAAATGGACCAAGATATATCTCGGGTTTATAAATTTTTCTGACAGTTTCCAAACTTCATCTACCAGTTTGAGTGTAATAAGTAATATTTGGATCAAATTTCATAAAATTTTATTATTATTATTATTATTATTTATTATTATTATTTTAGTGACTTAAAGAGTGATTTCGAGGAAAGTGTTTCAGGGAGTGTGGCAAGACGCCAATCGACCAAGTTCTGAAGTTACCAGGGAGTGAATGCTTCTTGCCACCAAAGTCTGCACAAATTATTTGATTCTTAACTCAAAAACAACGTTTCAGCAGTTGTATATGCTCATTGCTGTTTCCCTGCAACTTGAACTTTGGCTCTTCAATTTGAAGCCACTTTAGTCATTCATATTATCTGACAACCTGCACACATCCACTTGGTCATCGTGACAAAAGACATCTCTTTTTATATATTAACTTGTTTGATTATTTATCATTTCTTGTGTTCAGCTAGATTATTTATATTTTTATACTGTTACTCCCTTTATAATTTTTTTTTGTTTTCATGTCATAATTCCTTAGCAATAGTATTCATGTGTTATTTGTTTTATCGTGAATAAACCATTAAGTTTCAACTCAAATTTATGATATAAATTTTTTTTATCCAATAAATGTTTTCCACATCTAAGCACTGATCAATTACTAGAATATATAGGACTAAGCATGATGGGGTTAATTTTCATGAACTGATGTTTCCTATAATATATTTTCATGAACATCATGTTCCCTGTATTTCATGACTCTGGTTCATAAATCGAGCAAAGATATACAAGACATGAAGTTTCATCCCTAACAATGGCAATCAAGTTCCACTCTATACCAGCTTATGGTAAAGGTAACAAGACTACAAACCATAGATACCAACAGCAGCACTATAAAATGACGTAGCAGCGCATTGCAGCTGTTGGTGGCCACAAGAAACTCATAGTACAGCATTTTTGCATTGCACAAATAGCAGCTGAAGTCACCACCTCATTTTTCCAAATCCACCCCCTTTCCAGCCAAGCCCATTCATTTTCTTGCCAAACACACCTCCAACTCTGTTTTGCAGTTAAAAAAGCATTGTATCATAATAGGATACTTCTTAACTGCTGCAACTTAACTAAGACATATACATGACTATCTTTGTTTATTTGTGTAATGAGCTCTTCATAGTACATCAAATTGCACAAACTTTCCTGTCATGGCCCTCCATTTTCTATAAATCCCATCATCTTCCAAATTTCCCTATAATTTCCTATAATCTCATTTTCCACATTGTTAATTATAGCTCAAATTAATGGTGAATTTGGGTTAGACTATAACTTTTTAGTTAAGAATTCTGAATATATCTTTAATTTTAGATAATATTTTATTTTTAAGCATTTATGTTGTATTCTATATTATAAATTATTTATCTTGAATCTATAATCTTCAGCAAAGCAACACCATCCCACACTACCCACCATAGCAATTTTGAGGTAGGTCACTCAATGCCACTATTTGGTATTGTTAATTATGGGCAAACATATTCAATAAAAGAATTGATGAATGGGGGAAAGGGGGAGGGTTAAAACTAAAAAAAGCCTAACTGCAAGGAGGGTGAAGGATACCAAGCACAAATACATCCAAACACAGATGACACATTATAATGGAAAATAGGTATAACATGCTACAAACAGTGAATATCCTAGATTATTCATCACTGCATGAATAACAAGAAACAGAAAAGTATACTCACAGCTCGTTCTGCAGTTCCAGGTGGACCATCAAGAATTTTTATACGAGCCTTAGTCTCTTCAGTAATTTTCCTAATAAACTCACCCTTACGGCCAATAATACTTCCAACCTTCTGCACAGGAACCAACATCCTAAAAACATTCTCTCCAGGCCACCCTGGCCACTTCTTTATTTCACCTCCTTTTGAATCCTCCTCAGATCCCTGTTTTTCCTCAGTACCAAAATTCTCAGTCAAATCTCCTTCACCATGTTGTTCCTCGGCAT